AACATGCAATTGACTAAAGAAACAAGCACAAAATATATCAAATATCTGTGGCATGTAAATTTGTCACAACCACAGAAGAATAATCCTAATGGAAATATTTATATTACCACTTTAGACAATAGCCATAATCATAACTTGTCCCCTTATAGAACAAAATTTTTTAATGATAGTGAACTTACCCAAGAAATATATGATAGGGTAGAATTTTATGTGAATACTGTTAAGTTAAAGCCGCTACAAATTCAGAGGGCTTTACGAAAAAAATTTTCTGACCATGAAGTTTACCTTTTTGAAATTCATAAAGCAACAGCAAAATATTATAGTGGAAAATGAAAGGATATGTTAAATGATGCTGCATCATTATATGAAGAATTAGTAAGAAGAAAAAATGAAGATCCTCGATGGTATGTTGCAATTGAGTGGGACTGAGAATCACATAGCCTTCAAAAGCTATTTTGGATATCTCCTGATCAGATCATCCTTTGGATAGAGTATTGTGATATTATATTTAGTGATAATACTGCAAAAACAAACCAATACGATATGGCCCTCTTACTTTTCTTATGTGTTGACAATCACGGGTCTTCTCAACTAGTTGGATGTGCGCTTATGAATAATGAGTCAGCAGATTCGTATCGGTGGGTTTTACGTCAGACAAAACAGGCCACTAGAGGCTATGTATCTGCTGTTATTATGACCAATGCTGATCCGGCTTTGGATCTTGCAATCTCCGAGAAGTATGAACAATTTTATACTATACATTGTATATTCCATATATCACAAAACCTTTCTCGAAATCTCGAGGCTAAGTTGGGCCAACAGTATCAAGAGTTTGTTCAAGATTTTTACACTGCTAAAAATTTTCTTGTTCCAGAAGTTTTTGAACAAAAAATGGAAACAGTTTAAGAAATATAATAAGCCTAGAGTTGTAAAGTATCTAAAAACATTATATTCTTCAAAAAAAGCATAGGTATGCGCTTACACCACAAAGATATTCATTGCCGGCATACAATCAACGTCTCATGTTGAGAGTTATAATGCTCAGATCAAAAGGCTGGTTTTAAACTCTAATATTAGCCTACTTGACCTTGCTAAAGCCTTGGAAGCAAGTATAGAAGAGGAGATTAAAAAAGCAAAGTATGCTTATTGGAAGACACAAATTCTATTGACATCGTTTGCTGCTACATTACCACAAACATTATTTCCCAAACTTGATAAAGCTTTGAGTCGGTTTATTATACCTGAAATACAAAAAATTCAGCATGCTGAAATTAAAAGTTGCCTAAATTATCATGCATCTGCTATTACAAAAGATGAAATGATTAAATATCAAGAGGTATGTACTATAACCATATTTTCGCGAAATAACATACAGGGGCGTTATTTCGTGAAAATACGGTATTGTTTTTTAAAGATAATATTGCAAAATAATACTGAACTTACAGAATCTTATTCTATTTAAGCCTGAGTCAGATAATATCTTGTTTGTAGAAGATAACGAAGATATTATGCTAATTTTAATTAAGTATATATTAGAAAATATAGACATCAACGAAATAAAGGAAATCTGGGCTATCCATATAATTATGGCTTCGACATTTTGTTGTTTTGTTGTCCTTCTTTCTGATAAAACTTATGTATGCTCTTGTTTGGAGCTTGTAAATCGTGGGGTAGTTTGCCATCACTTTTTTCAGATGATGCTATGTAGTCATGTAGCTGCATTCCATATTACATATATTCATAAAAGATGGTACAAGGATATTCATAGTGATTTACAGGAAGAGTCTTATTATGTTGCCACATGTTTTAGTAAGAACTTTTCTCAAGATCAACCTACAGAATTCACAAGGTCTAACATAAATAGATTGTTTACACCGGCTGATCTCCGGGACGAAAAAAAGAAAAACATTAATGAACGAAAGCTATATAGAGAATTATGGGAGTTGCACGAAATATCACGCAAAAGGTAGTTCAATTTCATAGACAAGATGTTCTTGAAAAGCTACAAAATTTATTAACTGAAATACAGGATAAAGAGTTAGTAAACAGCCCAGCCAATGATGATAATGAGGAGATGTACAGTAATAGCTTAGACGATAATGAAGAATATGAAGAAACTAATTCATTATCTGATATACCTCTTCAAAAACCAAAAAAACATAAGGCGAAAGGACGACCAAAAAGTTCTAAACAAATCAAGCAATCAGAGGAATTAAAGCCGGCAAAACGTCAAAACCAATGTGGGAATTGTGGCGAGTATGGGCATTATAGGCCTAAATGTTCAAAAAAAAAAAAGTAATTAGAGAAAAGATGGTTTAACAAATCATTTTGTAATTATTTTTTTCAATAAATATATAATGATCTTTTAATAGATACTTAATATGAACATTATAGTATTACCATAGTATATAGAATATATGTAATGGTTATTCGCTTAAATATCCAAATCATGTACATGTAAATTAACTCTTTTTTGTTTTTTTTTCCAGCTTAACTAGTAAGAATCTTAACCGTTTAAGTCTTAATGAACAATTTTCAATCAAATAATACTGTACCTCTACAATATTAGTGCTGATCTTAACTTTAAGACAATAGACGTGGTAGTAAAAGAATTCTACTTTGGGTCTTGAGTTCTTGAGTCGATTTTGGGAATACATATAATTATCTATTTTCTTCGTTCCAAATCGTGTACACGTGAATTAACTCTTTTTTGTTTTTTTAGATTAACTAGTAAGAATCTTAAACATTTAAGTCTTAATGAATAATTTTTAATCAAATAATACTGATCTCTACAATATTAGTGCTAATCTTAAATCTAAGACAATAGACATAGTAGTAAAAGAATTCTACTTTGGGTCTTAAATTTTTGAGTCGATTTTGGGAATGCAGATAAGTACCTCTTTTCTTTGTTCCAAATCATATACGCGTGAATTAACTCTTTTTTGTTTTTTTTTTTCAGATTGTAAGAATCCTAAACATTTAAGTCTTAATGAACAATTTTAGTCAAATAATACTGACCTCTACAATATTAGTGACGATCTTAAATCTAAGATGATAGACGTAGTAGTAAAAGAATTCTACTTTGGGTTAAGTCAATTTTGGGAATACAGATAAGTACTTCTTTTCTTCGTTCCAAATCGTATACATATAAATTAACTCTTTTTTGTTTTTTTTTTCAGCTTAACTAGTAAGAATCTTAAACGTTTAAGTCTTAATAAACAATTTTCAATCAAATAATACTGTA